CCCTCCTCCCCTCTTCTTCAACTTCTTTATTTTTCTTCCTTTTAAAAAATTTTAATGGTGGGGAAAATCTTTCCCCAATGTACATGAATCTACTTTGCTGCTTTAGTAAGTATAGTCTACTGAACATAAGTGAGTCTGTCTTTGAGATTATTGTATCAGGATGTCTATTTTGCAGACTAGTCATCGTATTTTTATAGAAGTTAATATAAGCTCAGGCTGAAAATAAAGTGGAAATTTTCTGAGAGTGGCAGTTAATACCCATTTATTTTCTTTTCACTTAAAAAACATCTATCAAGGCTGGGAGCAGTGGCTCACACCTGTAATCCCAGCACTTTGGGAGGCCAAGGCGGGCATATCACTTGAAATCAGGACTTTGAGACCAGCCTGGCCAACATGGTGAAACCCTGTCTCTACTAAAAATACAAAAATTAGCTGAGTGTGGTGGTGCATACTTGTAATCCCAGTTACTCAGAAGATTGAGGCATGAGAATCGCTTCAACCTGGGAGACGGAGGCTGCAGTGAGCTGGGATCATGCAACTGCAGTCCAGCCTGGGTGAAAGAGCGAGACCCTGTCTCAAAACAAAAGCAAAAACAAAAACCTAACAAGAATACACAGGAAAGTTTTCATTCATTTGTGTATCAGTTTAGATGCACCCAGTTGCAAGTAACAATGCTACTCACAGTGGCTTATATTGAAAGAACCTTTATTGTTGATCTAACAAGAATTGTGGGGGTAAAATGTCTAAGGTTGATACTGTAGTCTAGTGAGGTCATCAAGATTCCGGGTTCTTTTTATCTATACACACTGCCATTCTAGGCTGAAAATCTTCAGTCCTGTGACATCTTACCTTGTGGTTGCAAAATGGCTGCTGCAGCTTTTGGCATTTATCCTTACACAATAGCCTCCAAAGCTGGAAGGGAGAAGGGGGAAAGTCTCCTTATGCAGTTTTCTCTTTTATTAGGGAGAAAAATCTTTCCCATAAGCTCCCTCCCCCCATCCCTAAAGCAGACTTCGTTTTACTTGCCATTGTCTAATATTGGGTTACATGCCTATCCCTGCAGCAATTCCTGGCAAAGAGGAATTATTTTTTTGCCTTAGAGTCATCATGGTTCATCTTTTGGGGAGGGACACATTGCTGCTGAACACAACCTGTGATCTTTTAGTAAGAAGGAAGAGAATGGCTGCTAGACAGGCAACCAGCCCCTTCTACTACACATGGGCTCTTCATTTTGCTTCTGAGGGACCAACTCTTGGTGTACTTGTTCTCACACTACTGAAGAAGCCATTTACTTTTTGCCTATCAATGATTCAAAAGCCAGCGATCTCATTTATTTGAAATTGTAGTAGCAGAAGGCAGTAAGGCCTAGTGAAAGAGAATGATAGATTTGAAGGCCAGGCAGACTGGATTCGAATCCATGATTTACCACTTACTGGCTGCATAACCTTGGACAAGTAGTTAAAGACCTTAGAGACTTGATTTCCCTATTGATAAATATAAAATAGTACCAACTGGCTGGTGTTATTGTATAGATGTAATGAGATAGTGCATAGAAACTGCCTAGCATAATACACATATCATAGGCACTCAGTGTGTGTTACTTCCCTTCCCACGTGAATTCAGTTGCTTAGAAATTAGCTAGTGTTTAGCTTAGTAGAGAGACCTATTCAGAAAAAGAATACATTTGACTCTAGCAGGTTTTCTTTCTTTTTTCCTCCTTACTCATCTATATTCACATAAAAGTCCCCTCTCTTGTCTTCGAAAGACTTGTGGGTAGATAGCAGTGTGCCCTGTGTTAGGGTAGTGTCCAGTAACTAAGAGAAAGCTACTAAAACCATGCATTCATTTCTTAATTGGTTTGCTTAAATCCCTGTTAGGTTTAATATGGGAAACACAATCCTCTCTAAGTATTTTAGGCAAAAAAGAATTTAATGCAGGAAATAAGGTACCCACAAAATTGGAAGGGCTGGAGCAATGGAAGTTAAAAAGTCTGCATGACAGGTCAAATGGCACCATGACTTCCATCAAGATGCCAGAAATTCCTCCTATTACTCAGGCTAAAAAACTGTTGCTGCCATGGCTATCACCACTGCCAACATCACATCCTCCCTATCACACAAAGCTGATGAGGGGACAGGGCACAGTTGATAACACTCACATCTGGTGAAGCCTATTTTCTGCATGCACAACTGTAGAAAAGAGTTCCTTCCCTTTGATTTCTTCCAAATCACTAAAAGTAGCCCCTTTCACAACCTAGGGATAAGGTAATCTAGAAACTGTACTTTTCAACCCTGTGCCAGGGTTTCTTCTGCCTTATCCATGTGAAAGCCCTCCTCCTTATCTTATTTGTCTGTGATTCCTCTGCTGGGCTATCCTCCCATGTGTATTCTGTCTTTGCCCCTGTTTTCCCTCTATGTCCTATTTGGGGTCCAACATCCTGCTCTGCCCTGCCATACGTCCCTGTCCTTTCTGGTACAGATGTCTGCCTTGCTCTGTCTTACCTAAAGGCTTTAGAACTCAGTTGTTCAAGAAGAGAAGGTTAGGAAAGGGTAAGAGATCGCCTTGCTTTGTTAAAAATTATAGTACATAGCTTTGTATTTCCTAACAATTTAGTGTTAGAAGTTTTTGAACTTTATAAAAAGGCAGTCATATATATAGTATATAGTCTTCTGGGACCTACTTTGCTTACAATACTATTTTAGTTTTATTTAACCATATTGTTGTTCTCATAAATGAGCTTTGTCATATTTTAAAATCTTTCTTAATACATTTTTGCATTTTGGGGGTTATGCTTTGTTCTTTACTCATTCAGCATTCTGTAATATTTTCCCATGTTAAGAAACCTCTTCAAAATGAACATTATTAGGTTATGAATGGATCATAATATGATTGACCATTTCTTATAGTCAAATATTTAAGTTAATTTCTATCTTAGAATGTGGTAGATGAAGAAGATAGAAGGAAAAAAGGCTGAGATTTTCCATCTTCCAGGAGCCTAGCTGGAAGATGCTTATTTGCTGAAATGAGAAACACTGGAGGATGTGCAGCTTTGGTGATAAGAAAAGGATCTGGTTTTGAACAGGTTGAGTGTGAGTATGGAGATATTCAGAAAGCAGTTGAAAATTCTACCTTGGCTTTTAGGAGAAAGATCAAGGCTAGAAGCAATGGATTTGTCGTCAGTACATGGGGAATGGTTTGAGGCAAGTGTGGGAGTGAGATAGCCCAGGAAAATGTCTGGGGATACGTAAAGGACCAATACTAGACTCCTGGGAAATACTTATGTCCAAATGGCAGGCTGATCTAGATATGCTGTCCAGAAAGTCTGTTTAGAAAGGGGGAAGAAAATTGGGGAAGTGTTGTCATTTGAAAGCCACTGCGGAAAAGAGCTTCATGAAATGAATGGGTAGTCATTCATACTTAATGCTGTAAATGCTGTAGACAAGTTAACCAGGATGACAACTGAGGGGAAAATGTATGTGCATGTGTACATATGTGTTGGAGGGCTGGGTGCGGGGAGTTTGCTGCTCATGTATCCAGTTTTTTTTTTTTTTTTTTTTTAATTTGGATGATTGAAAATTCATATGCTGACATGCAATTCAACTATTTCCTTGGGTAGATTCCAATAAGTGGAATGACTTTATCAAAGGGTTCGAGCATAGGCCTTTGATTCATGTTGTTAGGTAGCTTTCCTGGTTTTCATTTTTTTGTATTGTTTTGTTTTTTGAGATGGGTTCTCACTATGTTACCCAGACTGTTTTTGAACTCCTGGACTCAAGTAATTCTCCCACCTCAACCTCCCTAGTTTCTGAGATTACAGGCATGAGCCACTGTGTCTGGCTCCAGTGCTCATTTTTTTATATGCAGTAATGAATAGTTTGTGATTTTGTACACGTCTGGGTGTGCAGAGACAAGGTGAGGAAGTCTGCAGCAAAGGAGAATACAGAATTGCACTTCTGTAGTTGGGGGTCTTTTCTAAATGGACATAGTCCAGCCCTCATCTCCTCCCCACTTTCAGTTTCCACACTCTACATCTGTCATCCAGAGCACAAGTGGAACAGGGTCCATTACTCATTAGCTGCATGGGGATTTGAATAACCTCACAGTGGAGGATGTTCTTGTCTGTTGTGGTGGCAGGTAACTACAGTTAAATGCGTGACCGACATAGAGCTAACTCAAGTCATTGATTAGACTATGAAGCGTAGACGGAAGTTCTCTGAATTTAAGATTAGACTTTTGAAGTCTGGCATCTGCTACCACTTCAAGGATTAAGGATTCACTGCTAACTGGAATTCAATATTTAATATTCTAAAACCATTCAGCTCCAAGTTACAAATTAGTTAAATTATAATAATACACAGACATTCTCTCGGAGGCTGTGGTTTTTATTGGTAGCAAGACTCATTAAGAAATTTCACTTAAGCTATGCCTTCATGAGAGATTCTAAATAAACACACAGTCTATTTCAGCCCTCATTTCCTACAAATACCATATAAGGAAGCAACTTTGTATTTCTTTTGTCATAATACATTTGATTTACCTCCTTATCTTCCATTAAAATTTATTTCACAAGACGGACCTGTTTTCAGGTACCATAAACACCCAGTTTTACCGGGTTTTCTTTGACTGCTGGGGAAACTGTGGACTGTATATGATGCACATATTTTATTGCATCTCCCCTGGCATGAGATTCATATACACTGGCATCTTCTCAGAGTGAAGTTGACTCTCTCTGTTTCCCTATTCCAGAATTGCACTTGGCATGTGTTGATTCCAAAACAGTTTGAAGCTCATTTTGATTGGCTTTTGGCAATCTCAGCTCAGCCAGTTTCACTCTGAGAGATCCCCTGTTTGTTCCTTTACGAATGGCCACAGAAGCTTTTGCTCTTGGCTCTGCATTCTAATAGCACCTCTTGCATGGTCTGTGGCAAAGCAATGCTTTGAAATATGCGTCCATACTATGTGGCCTTTCTTGCTGCAGTTTCTGTTCTTTTTTATTGTAGGATCGGGAGACTCACCACTAGAAGACGATGAAGTCGGGTATTCACACCCTAGATATAAAGGTGAATGCTTTGCTTGTGTGCTAATGAGGACCCGCTGATGCCAGGAGAACTTTCCTTTTTGCCCTGTGGAACAGATTGTAATAAAGTGACCAGACAACACATTTAAGTTCTGATTATCAATCAAGTAAAAATATTATGAAACAAATGTATATGCTCCCTTTTTTTAAAAAAAGAAAAGAAATAAAACAAAATGCATTGGAAATCTCTGAAATGCTGTCCTTCAGCATCCCAATGGTCATTTTATTCTCATAAGTTTCTTTACTGCCCTCACTTCTGCAAAGGCAGCTGTAGCTGATGAAAGTGAAAATCAAGCCATGAGTTCTGCCTAATTCATACATTACAGCCAGAATCATCCAGAGTAAACCATCCAAGGTGAAATCTGGACCAAGTGCTGCTAATGTACTAAGATGAATGGGGAATGAGAAAACTTGATTTTCATAAGCTCATTTCATTGTGCTCTTTCTGAGCCCAGCATGGCTCTTGAAATGGTATGTTAAAGTATGTTGCTGAAATGAAACTTAACTTAATGATAAAGAACTCCATCTCTACATATTCTCAGCAATCCACTCCCCAGCAGGTATAAAACGCCTAAAAAAGAACCTTCTATGCAGACTCTGGTAAGTATGTCCACAAATATTTCTACTGGTGAAACATTTCTCTGAAGCTTAGGGAACTCTAAGAAAAATGAAGGTAAATTTAGAGATGCTTTCTCTCTGAATCTGGTTCCTCTTATAGTAGAGGAATAATTTGAAAAAAAAAAAAAAAAGTTAACAAAGTTCTACTGTGGCATTTTGCCCTGGAGATTTGTCCTATATTCTGTGAAGAGGACATGGCCCTGGTCTGTTGTGATATGTCTCAGATACAGGAGAATCAGGGTAGGACTGGTCAGCTTTTGGCTGGAGAATGTCCTTCAGTTGTTTTTTACACAAGTGAACAATATTTCCAGTATAATGACTGGTGCCTGGCACCTATGTCCAGGTGTGCTTCCCACCATATACCACATTTCTTTGTCACTTCTGACTGCAAATATTCATTCCTACCTATGGTTTCTGTCTCCATAACCTCAGGAATTAACCAATCAAGCAAAGCACAAATATGTTAATCAGATGTTTTGGGTAAGGAAATGTTCTGATTCACAAAATTTCTTAATCAAGGGTTTAGATTTTTTTTCTTTGAGTCCCTTGTTGAAAAATCTTCCTAAAACACATGCATGCACAGACGACCCTTCACATCTACAGTACAGGTTGCCTAGTGCCCTCAGGTCACTGTTTTTCACGTCTATCCTCACCTCACAGCGTTGCAAATGTGGCAGGTAGACCAGATGGTCAAAATGTGTGCCTGCCTTAAAACTTACCCTGAATGTTTACGAATACATTTTTCTTAGGCATTGTTTCTAATGTCAGTTCTATTATTATTCTATTTTTTTATTATTAGTTGTTGTTAATCTTTTACCATGCCTAATTTATAAATTAAACTTCATCATAGGTATGTTTGTATAAGAAAAAACAGTATATATAGCATTGGGTACTATCCAAGTCTTCAGGCGTCCAATATCCCCTGTGGGCAAAGGGGGAGTACTGTATGTCACAAATATATGTAGTATATACAGACTATATATGTAAATCCTCAGAGGAAGGAAATTTTATTCAAGGAAGTTCTTTAGGCCTTGTGTGAGCTCCTTCAGGTTTACATCCACATAGTCAAATTTAATCGTTCTAGATTAAGCCTTCAGGACATCACTTTTACCTAGAAAGTCCAGGGAATATTACTTGAGTCTTGAGTTTAGGACTCACTTGCAGCTGTCTGCAAAACATTATATGATGAAAGTATTAGCCAGACCAGGCACAGTGATGTGTGCCTGTAGTTCCAGCTACTTGGGAGGCTGAGACAGGAGGATTGCTTGAGGCTCAGGAGGTTGAGACTGCAGTGAGCAATGATAATGCCACTACACTCCAGCCTGGGTGACAGAGTGAAACGCTGTTTCCAAAAAAGAAAAAAAAAGAGAAAGTGTTAGCTGAAGGAAATGTGAAGGCAAAAGTAAAACAGTGGTCTATGCACAAGACCTGGCCCAGAACTGTTGTTTTTTCTAACTAAGGAGCAGTCGGAGGCACATCCTCAGAAAAGAATTCCTGGGAAAGTAAAACAGGGTCTGTCCTCCTTCCTGGCCACATGATGGGGCACTTACCTCACTCACTGACAGCTCAGGTGCTGGAGTGGAGTGATGAGCCAGGCAGCTGCAGGGAAGTGGTTTCTATTCATGGCATTGAGAGCCCAGCTGGCCTTAGGGAGCTCCTCACTGGTCCCCATCGATTGTGGGACATTGGGGCGGTAGCTACTGTAGGAAGTTACCCACCAAGTAGCTCATGTTGCCCTTATATTTTATGGATCTCAAAGATAACATTTCAAAAGCGCAGTGGGGAGGTTGTGATTTATTCATTTCATCCTAGTTGTGCTTTGGGCAACTATAAGACCAAAATCAAAACACCTGCGACTTTGCCATCTGGGGAGGGTGTCACCCTGTTACCTAAATGGGGCACAATTGGGGATACTTCCCTATGAGGAGCAGTTGTTCTTTGACTTTAAGCCAAATTTATATCTTGTTGCAAAAACCTGGAAATTGTAGCTTCATTTAGATTAATAGCAGTATTACAACATTTTAGAGAGAGTGTGCATACAGCTCAAAAGAAATCCAAATTAACCAATTTTTGAATCCCACCCGTCCCACTATGTATGAGATCAATTGCTCTTGAAATAATTATTTATCTAAAAATACAATAAAAATAAACCTTATGTATCTAGTTAAGGGAAGTACTAAGAAGAACAGCATTTATTGAACATATACTATGTGCTGGGCACTGTGCTAGATGCTCAATATGCAATTTTTATTTAGTCCTTATAACAGCACTATGGCATAGGTATAGATATTGACTCAGAGAGGTTAGCTAACTTGTCTAAGGTCACATAGTGAGTTATAGAGGAACTCAGATTCATGTTCAGATATATCTGACACTTAGACCCATGATCATAACCAGAGACACCTAAGAAAACATGGGGCACTATTTGAAGGTCCAAAATTTGGAATGCAACCAGCCTGGGACTGTGAGAGTAAGGGGACACATTTTCTGAAAGTGTCATTTGGTATTTCTCTCTCTCTCTTTTTTTTTTTTTTTTGTTTCTGCTACTTGTAGATACCCCATGGTGCTCCCCCATCAAGGTGAAGTATGGGGATGTGTACTGCAGGGCCCCTCAAGGAGGATACTACAAAACAGCTCTGGGAAGCAGGTGTGACATTCGCTGTCAGAAGGGCTATGAGCTGCATGGCTCTTCCCTACTGATCTGCCAGTCAAACAAACGATGGTCTGACAAGGTCATCTGCAAACGTGAGTAGCCCAGCCCCATGTTGGGTCCTCAGGGATGACCAGAGCCAAAGTTCTTTTGCTCTGAGATTGAGGATTTTCCCTGAACTTTGGATGAGAAAAATTACCCTTATGAGCAGGGGGACAACAGGGGAGTTCTAAGATATGGTGGAAGTGAGATTGCTCCTCTCAGAGAGAATGATATGATCAGCTGTTGAGAAAAGGGGAGAGAAGATCATTGTTCAGAAAATTAGTTACATTTGTTTAGTAAGTGCAGGATGCTGAAGAGGTGTTAGGGATTTAGAAACAAGTAAGGCACACATGGGCCCTGCCATGAAGAGGCTCTAGCAAGGCAGAGGCATCAACTGGGAAATAAGTACAAGAAGGGCACAAAGTCAGGAACATATAGTAGCAGATTAAAGATGTGTTCTCCCAGGGAGTGGGGCTTAGGGAGGCAGGAAAGAGTGTCTGAAGAAGTGAGGCTTATTTATGAAAGCGAGTGTGCCTCAGGGGAGAAGATTAGAGGGGCATTTCAGGGACTGACTTTGAGCTTCATGAGAAGTCATACCTCATTTGGAAAACCGTAAGTGGTATGGCATTGTTGAAGCACATTTTAGATATCTTTGGTATTCAAAACAGCACCACTTTTTGATCACTTATGGTTTGCCAAGCATTTCACATACATTTGATTTTTGCAATAACATTATCAATATGGGTGCTATTATTTTAACTTCATTGTTGGGGAAACTGAGGTTTCAAGGCTGCAGCCATGTAATCAAGACTTTGCAGACTGTGCAACTGGGTGACCGTAGTGGACAATCTGCTTTACCCAGATCTCCTCGATGCCTTTTACTAGTTGTGTGTATCCAGTCCC